GGCTAACGCGACGCGAGATGACTATATTATTACTTTTTGTTTTGTTTAAACAAGTCTGCTTCGTAAAAATTGTTTGGAATATTAAAAAAGAACATTTATTTTTGTAAGTAAACTTTTAAAAAGCACTTTTTCACGTCCCTGTGTTAACCCTATCACTGCTTCGGGACAATAAATGGCCCAATTTCTTTGCTGACCTACCACAATTTTAAAATTTTGTGAAGTGCGGCCTTGGAAATAGTTTGGTCTGGGTAAAAGAATTATCTATCTACGTAGAATAAGCCTATGAAAGGAATAAAAATGCTCTGGAGAATGCCCCATTACACAAAGACATTGCACCACCTAATTTTGACCGTAACTTTAACGATAACCGGTGATTTGTATGAAGTTTGACAGATTTTTGACGTTTGTCAAAGACAAAGTAAGATGGTGCAATTCAGCCTAAAAGTATGGTTAAAACTCCGGCAAACGTTACTTCGACCTTACGTTACTCCGACACTTACTGAATATCGAAATTACTTTACTTCGACACTACACTACTCAGACAGACAAAGGCGTCCTAAAAGTTTTCACTCTATACCAGCTTCCAGCTTTAATATATTGATAATGAACTATAGGTAATTTTGATTAATATTTATGTAATTAATCATGCCAAGAAATTCGTGATGTTCTTTAGTTTCAAAAACGTTACTTCTACTTCTAACGTATTTTCACATTCTGAAACACAAGCAACTGAACACGCAATATAATATAAACATGTCTTACCATAAACTACCAGTGTCCAAATCAAAATTTCATATTGAAAAACGTTTAACAACAGTTCAACCACCGATTTCCATTCCATAGAGATAACTCTAGCATGTAACAACTCCGTGTATTTCAAGAACTAAATGCACTGTCACATATATTCACACTCTATGAAAGCATCCCGTAACATATATTTTGAGCTAGACAAGGTAAAATGGCCCATAAATATACTACAGACAAGTACGCTAATTGCTTGCAGTACCGAGTTATTTTTGACGCCTTTGCTTATTATACAGGCTGCGCCACCGTCAAAGGGAAAGGAGAACAGCCATCTTTTAAGCTAATAAAAAATCAAATACATTTGCTGTTAAGAGTTCAAAGTCTTTGGTATCGATTTATGAAGTCCTGCACCTTACAAAATTTCGTAACCTCAGACTTTATTATGTTCTTGGTGATTAGGTTGGTTGCGTTCATGAATGTGGCTATGTACTACAATTTCTCAGTCATTGAACTCTATTATAGAGCGTTTACTCCGCAAGTTTATGATGTAAGTGAGCATGTGAAATGCATATTGTGAATGAAGATAAATTATGACGTCTTGATGATAATAAGAATAAGATAACTAACTTGGATTCGACGATTCCTTAACATTCTCAAGGATTGCGAGTTAGTCTTGCTGTACTTTTCTCTTGTACCTTTTACCTAGGTCCCCAGGAAGTATATTTGACAAATTTTAATGTGGCACTGTAAAGCTTCAACCAAACCAACGCTAGCAGATCGCCATCACCGGCGCGATCTCTCTATGACCTCTCATCAATCTGCGCGCGTTGTTGTGGTTGCAGCTTAAAAAAATAAAACGCTTCAAATTATTCAAATCTGTTTTAGAAACTCAACGGAATGAGCTGGCTCATTTATTTGGCATGTGGCAGACCGTCCCACAACCTAAAGTAATTTTACAACATAATATTATGTGGAAGTGTGCAATTATGGGACTGGCCATCCGGAGGTTTTCCCTTGTATTTTAATTAAGAGCCAGGAGGTAATGTTTGTAAGCCTTCGGGATTTAGCTGGTATACAAGAGAGGTTATAAATCGAGTAAAATAAATAAATATCCTTGGACATTTTTACAATATGCTTCTAGTCCCAAACTAAGCAAAGCTTGTACCTACTATGGGTACTAGACGACGGATATAAACATACTTAAATACTTTTTTTTTGTAAATACATACATAGTAACACCCAGACCCGCCACTGAAATTAAAATTTATCATTTCAATTTCTGCCCGGCCGGGAATCGAACCCGGGACCTCTCGGCATAGTAGTCCGTTTCGAACCCACTACACTAAACGGCCGACAAGATAAACTACTTCTTATGTTGTGCACTTCAGTATAGTTGTTGCAATTCACGAAGGCGAGTGAGCTTTACATGTGTGGTGGCTCGCTACTGTCCGGTTTTCAAAAGTTTTGAACATTACACTATTGTTATGTGCATGTACACGTACACACACAATAAATCTCATTCGCCTTGGTGAGTTGCAAGAACTATAATTTGAGCCCTAAGCCCTAAACGTATTGGTTTTCTACTAATACAGTGCAAACAAACCCCTAAGAACATGATAAAATATCTTTCTTGAACACTTTCATCTGGCCCCTTCAAAGCGAGAGTCATTATGGTTATACTGGGCAGGTATGAACCACCATAGACTGCATCTATTTTTAGCATTAGGTGTGATAGCGGTCAAATACCTGCCTTTTGCTGTTTAGATAAAAGTAAGAACTTAAAGCCTCTTAATTTAAATCGTTCCCTTGAATAAGAATAGGAACATTCCTCTTGTGTATGTCGTAAAATGCCGCCAATCGACCAACATGGAAAGCATTGGGGGAGGCCTATGTTTAGCAGTGGACGTCCTATGGCTGAATGATGATGATGATGATGATAATGATGATGATGATGATGATGATGATGATGTCGTAAAAGGCGACTACGGGACACGCAAGCGAACATCAGGTTTTCTCAACCCATCTAGCCAGCGAAAAGAGAGTAGGCGAAAACCAATTTGCAATTGTAAATTGGTGAGGATGGAGCTCATACTGTGGACTAAAATTCTGATGACGATGATGATGATCATGATGATAAAAGTTCTACTCGTTAATACACTTAAATCTAGCAAGACTCATATTGTGAGGATTGACTACATCAAATTGACTACATTTGCTTAGATTCCACATATCTCCTTTTTGCTTTGGTGGAAATAGCCTGTGTGTTTCGTCGTACACCTCTCGTCTCCTCTCCTTCACGTTGATGAAAACCTGTTCACTGACTCTTTTTTTCATTACAATTCCTAATAACTAACCAATTAATTAACAATCATGTCGCAGCAAACAATTGAAATACAGCAATTTTACTAAATAAATGTGTGGAGTCAACAGCATTACAGCATTGTAACTGGGAACCTAGTCATTTATGTTAATGCCAGGTATGTTTGATTAAGTGTTACATCAAAATGGAAAATTCATTTTATGCTGGTACAGACGGTACATCAAGCTAAATTCTGTAGTTTCTATTCTGTTGGAATAGGGTCTAGTTTGCAACAAAATATATCTCTACAGACTATGTTTGTACGTCTGTACAACACAGCAATTTCGGTAATTGGATTGTGGCCCAACGTGTAAAAGTCTAGCCATTTCAAATTGTCGATGGTAATTTTGAAAATATTTGCAAATAATGAAAACTCTGTGCTTTAGCAGACTAATTAGTCTGTTATTAGGTAGATTTTTCTTTATTATAACGATGTGTGGTCAATCCTACTTATAAATGCGAAAGTTTGGATGTCTGGATGTTTGTTACTCTTTCACGCAAAAACTACTGAACGGATTTTGATGAAACTTTACAGTATTATTGTTTATAACCCAGAATAACATATAGGCTATAGTTTATGACACTCCATGTAGATTGGTAGATGTTCTCGGTCTTTTGGCTAACATCAAGGTTTTAGGCTGAGTTGCACCACGTAACCTTGACCGTAACTATGACGATGACCGGTGTTTTTTGTATGGAGTTTGACAGATTTTTGACGTTTGTCAAAGTTAAAGTAAGATAGTGCAACCCAGCCTAACTCTTCCACTGAACCACAGGCCAAAGCTTAATAAGTCAATAAAAATAGTTCGCTGATACCATTTCAAGAATCCACCGTCTTATTAAACTTTATAATAATCGTTTTTTACAAAGATACGTGCGGACTGACGCCATATTGTATTTGAATCACCTTCTTATCTGCTCTACTATTACGCTTATGAAAGGCAAGCTTATCCTCAAGTTTATGGACCTAACAGGAGTTCTTTATAAATGGTTGATATTTTTGTACCTCAACTCAATGTATCGTTCAGTTCTGGATATTCAACTATAAGGCCTGATAACTGACGCTACAAAATGTAGGAATAATTGTGCAATGAATAAGAATGTTAGAATATTATTTTGGATTTGACCAATGCGTAGATAGCAAATTTAGGATGTTGATTCCAGGTTGGTTATAAATGTGACAAACTTGGGACTGGGAATCGAATCCCAAACCTCTAGGTAACACGATCCCAGCACTCTTTATAATTAGCATTGAATTATCAGTTACTTTACTGCAATTATTTTTAACTTCTATACAATTCATCTAATTCTAATGACAACACTTGGTATGGTATTCGAACCGTTAGTAAAAGTGTTTTTCATTACTTTGATTAAGGTAATAATTACTTAGGGTCATAAACTGCAAGATTTTTATGCATCAGTAGACCCTTTTTCTTGGGAACGGCAACTTACTCGACTTGTTTTGATGAACATCTTTATTTTATGACCTTTAATCTGTTCTATTGCCGCACTAACCTCTAACAGTTCATTATCCGACAACTCTATCATAAATTGCTTTATCTTCTTCAACAATTAAATAAAATTGACCGCAATTCGGGTCAGTTAAGTCATCAATTCATTAATAGTCCCAAATGATAGCTCGCTCGCGCCGCCGGGCATAAAGGCGCCTCGAACACGAATGCACTCTCAATCTCCAACCTGCATAGACAAAACCCCTACGCTTGATGCAGCTAACTAACTCCCACCCCACCTGATCATCCGTCCCTCTCATCCCGTTAAAAAGTTCCACCCGTCCCGCTCGCAGCTCAAAATTACATTCGGCCGTTTTCGTTTATTCTCGGATGCAATAGCCGGTGTGGCTCGTAGCTAAACATGATTTCAGTTCAGTCGCTTCCCAACTGTCGGAGGAAGCGTATCGCTCTCGGCCTCATTCCCGCGCTCGTAACATCGCTCGGTATCTCTACAGGGATGTTTGTTTCTAGATAGTGCCTAAAATTTAGAGGATTTCAACTGTGCTGTGTCAAAGTGTGGACAACGTGAAAGTGCTCGTCGTTTTAACGGTCAGTTGTGTTGCAACTACGGATGTGGCTAATGCAGCAAGATCTGTTTGATTGTCAAAAGTAAACACATCTGCCCCATCGGGTGTTAGATCTGCAACGTTGTCTGACAACAATTTAATGGACAAAATGTAACTTCGTAGCGGAAACATGAAATGATTTCGCAGAAATGTTATGATTATTAATATGCCTGTGGCGGGCGATGTTATTGAGAATTCTGAAGATTTGCTTTGCCGCTTATTCGATATTAATGAGAAAGGAGAATATTAAGATTTGAATATTAATAAGGCTCCTTTAGTATCAGGGCCTGAACAAATGATGGTGCAAGTTCTGTAATAATTAATTTAATTTGTGTTTCATTATTTAAAATATGTGGGCGTAATAAAAGCCAACAATGATCGGGCGGTTTTGGGATGAACACGTTACAAACAATTCATTATAACAATAGAGTATTGTTTGTGATTGGGCTAACCTTTTTGTCCATTAATTACTTCCATTTATATGTTATGATTTAGTTTACGTGGGTTGGACAATACCGGTACAAGCAAAATCATTAAATTGTTATTGTTTATGTCGATTTCTATTTGATTGAATTTCTGGTTTATGATTGCAAGAACATCATAAATGATATTATTATTTTGATATTGGATAGCTTGCACGATGAAAGATAATAAATAATATTGATAAAGATAAAACTATAGATAGAAATGCAATGGTGAAAACAGATCTTGCTAAGAAATTGACCGTTAAAGCGGCACAATTACTCAAAGTTTCAATTATTTCAGTCGATCAAGAAATATCTGTGGACAATCAAAATACTGATAACAATATAAGTTAAGGTGATAAGTGTAAATGAGCCACTCCAAAGGATCTCCGACGAGAAATGATAAATTAACAAGTAAGTTTACGTACATTTTTCTATTGAAGAAATTTCTTCTTTATTTTATGAACGTCAAACATTTTCCGCGATTCTTAGAACGAGCTTGAAAGCCCTTTGAGTTGAAAAGAACTGACATGGGTGCTATTTGAGCAGATACTGTTTCAGTATTATTAGAGAAGCATGATTAATATTTTATCTTTATTTTGTTGAATATAATATCTGATCAAAAGAATCAATGGTGGAGTATTAAAAGCTTGTTATTGAATTCAAGAATCAATAAGAAGCTAATAGGATCAGTACCTTATTAGATAAATGAAATAAACACATTTTAAGGTATAAAGTAGTTAGACTTAATTAATAAATGGGTAAACAGTAAACACACGTAACATTATTGTATCAAGCAAGAAGTGGGGTATCACTTACTTAGGGTTGTAATTTCCAATTAGAAAATAAAACTTATTTTAATACTTATTCTTATGAAACATCAAATTGGTATAAAAAGAGCTACATTTATGTGCTTAACGTTATAATACCTGTGACAAGGATAAATAATTATTATTTTTAAAATAATGTAATGTCCTACACATATAATTTTATTTTATTGCGATAATCTGTTCTAGATTACGTTCATTAACAGACTCATCAGGTTGACATACTCAAGAGTATATAATATATAATTATAATAAATTATTATAAGACTATATTTTTTTGGAAAATTAAATTACTCCTAAAATCTACTAAGAAGTCCAACTCTTTGGCTTGAAATACCGTCGTCGTTACAAATCATCGTACCCACAACACCGTGCCACAATGTTGACAGGAAAGGTGAAGGATAAATAATGTGCTCCAAAATAATCTTAACTAACTATTTAAGAACATCTACCAACAACCATTACTCACTGTGTACGCTTAGACATTCCAAAACTTCAGCTGTCGAGAATTTTATCAGTGAATGCTGATAAAAATGACGTCACGGATGCTCGGTAGATTCATCATAAAAGGTATTCGCCTACGAGCCGAACAAATTTAACAAATGCTCCGCTCGGACGACTGACCGACGTATGTGATGGATGTGCCACGTTTAAAAGGTAACGTGGTCATTACTTTTTCTTTAACAAGACACTGCCTTGTATGCACAGTTTTTGGGACAACTTACAAACTTATGATTAGTGATCTCATTAGATGTTTATTTAGTGCTAGTACAGCGATAAAACCCTAGCCTTACCTTAATATGGAAGTAATATGAAAAGACTAGAATACCTACTCAATTTGGTAAATAAGTTGGGTCGTCCTATTGCAGTGGAGACTAAAGAGATTTCCAATAAGCTAATCATATCAGAATTTGGGATAATAATATAATTATGTACCTATATACTCTTATAAGAATTATTAAAATACTAGCTTTTGCCCGCGGCTTCACCCGCTTGAACTTAAGTTTGTCACAGATCGTCATAAATATAGCCTATTTATGTTATTCTGCATTATAAAGAATAATACTGTAAAGTTTCATCAAAATCCGTTCAGTAGTTTTTGTGTGAAAGAGTAAAAAACATCCATCCAGACATCTGGACATCCAAACTTTCGCATTTTTAATATTAGTAGGATTCGTCTTATTACAACTTCATTTTATCCACCTTTACACACTAATATGCTTATCTCGTAGGTACTTCGATGCAAATAAATTGAAATGCTAATTCAATTTGAAATATTAATCTAACACCCGATTAAGATGAATCTAGAAGTACATTTTGAGAAAAGTTCTTCATACAGAAATTCTTCGGTTTACTGGTTAGTTACAACTTCAAAGGTCTTTAAAAATTCTAGTTATTTTTTATTCAAAAGCACTCAACTATAAATAATAGGTCCACCGCGTTGAAACGAAACATCTCAAAGTAAAAAGAGAAAAAATGGCGTCTGTATCGGTTTCTTTTCATTAAAGATCATTAGAGTTTGGTGGATGAAAAATGAAAAATAAATAAAGGAGGCCGTCGTAGGCTTCTTGTGTTCGCTTCGAGGCGTGGATTTTTCTTCGTATTTTATTCCTTCTTTCCGAGGGCGAAGAAAGACTTTCTGATGAAACAATAACGCTTTGGTACTAGAATAGTACATACTAATTCGACCAAAGAATATTTCTACAAGCTCCATCCAGGGATGACTTTGTAAGTTTATTTTGTATTGTCTGCTGGCCAGTCACGGAACTGCTTTGCCTCGTATATTTATGCTGAGTGAGATTGATAAAACAGAATTCTAAAGTGTGGGAATATTAAATCATCCGCGCGTTTAAGACTGAGTGCAATAATTCAAGGTTTCTATATCGGATTTAAATTCTCACCGGGCCTGTGTAATCGGGCTTGATCAAACCAACTTCGAAATAAGTAACTTAATGTTATTCAGAACGTGTCGCTACATTTATCCTAACTGGAAGATCTGGCACGACTTCACCGACAGCAAGGCAGCTCCATATAAATCTAACTCGAATATATTTTAACTTGGTAATAGCGAAGAAATGGATCTCGTTGAAAATTCTACCTGGTGAAAAGTTTGAGAAGGATTTCTAAGGAGTAGTTGGAAGTGTGGAAATAAGGTTTTCAATGCGAATGGCGGATTACTAAAAGGGTTTAAGCAAGGTCTGGTTTTAATAAATCTATGGTAATACATGAATGTATATCTTTTATAAGTGGGTGTATTCTGATTTCGCAAAAAAATCCAATAGGACTTTTTATTTCTTTTTATTTTCTTTCTTATTAATACTGCAATTTATTATTTTTAATAAGAAAATATATTGAAAATTTGACATGTAATGAACATTATGAATAGATTTCTTATTCTTATTCTTTATTTCACATTCCTTTTTTCTTATTATAAAGTACTTAAAATCAAGACTTTGAATGTTTAATGTAATTTCCAATTAGGATTTCATACCTATTTCATTTACTTGCTTTATTATTAGACTAATAATTGCACAATAGATTAGTTGCGCTATTTCCTAGCTCATTTCCACATACCCATTGACTAGCTACGATAAGCCCGACATGTGCCTCCTAGATAAAGCCTTCGGAGATAATGACTTCAACTCCGTTTCCCTCATTAGATAGAATCAGCTGATCGCATTCAGCCTTTAACTTGAACCTTCATGGCGATTCATTAAAATTTGGGACACAGTCGTTACGAGGTTTTGCTGAGCGGCTGATTTGTGACGATGAAGTTTCGGATGACCAACGGTTAAGTTTTAATCCGAAGTTGTAACTCAATTGTTCGGTCGAGTTTGAAATATCTTATTAGAAATTTATCAGGAACATAAACACTTATAAGATTCTTATCTTATCTAATCAAAATCAACTTAACGACTTTTGTTTCTTAATCTTAATTTCCAAATACACGAAGTCAAAAGATTAAAGAATTCCACTCCCAAATAGTTTTATCTAAACGCCCAATAATCTTACTAATCTCTACAATCAAACGATCACCATCAATCTTCTACATTTCCTCTCGTAAAGCTCCAACCATAAATATCCCATTTTCTAATACCATTAAATCGCTACTAAAGTTTATGAGTCCCGCAAGTAATGAACCAACATGTACTTCTAATTCAACTAATGTCTTCCTTACAGTTTCTTGAATTTCAAATGAAACCTCAGTAAGATCGTCGGGCAGATTCCCAGATGGCTCGGATTAGTCCCATATTGAGTGAAATGTAGAATTACCCTTCTTACTTGGGGTTCTTCGAATATTTGAAGACTAATTTGCGGCTTTAGTATCGGATTGAGTAAAGTTTCGACATTCTGAATCGAATCATGGAGGTTCACACGCTTGAAAGGAAATTGTAACTTGTCCTTTAATGGGAGAGTGATTATCAGTTTAATTATCTAAAGAAAATAGAAAATGTTGTGTTAATGGTTGAGTTTTTGATGACCCATTTTATTTACTTTTCTTATTAGACTTATAATTAATTAAAACACAAAGTATTAGTTGATTAATATCAAAATTTAATTTTGGCATGATTGAACCTAGAATTTTTTAAAATTTAACTACGCTAGTTTATTGATTACTATATAGCAGTTAAGTGTGTTATGATATAAATTTTGCATCAAAACGAAGCATTAAACGTTTGTAGTCCAAACAATATTAAATAACACAAACAGTTCTACAATTTTACTGTCAATACTTAACATTTCCGCCCGTAAACGTTTCAGCTAATATTCAGCGTGAAATATTTACAGAGAAATCTAAAAATGTTTACTAAATCGTGTAAACTGTATACGGCCTATATACAGGCCTTTGATCTTGAAGACATTTGGTTTGATTGATGGGGAATCATAACGCCATTTGATTCGGGTCTCACGCCATAAACATTGGGATAAGTTTCTTTGCCGTATGTTTGGGAGCTATTTCCAAGAAGCCGTCTTTAGATATTTTATTTGGAGTTCCCATTGTAGCTGCTGGTTTGATTTTATTGTCAACGGGCTTAGAAATTTCTTTTATCGCCATTTTACATAGTTAATCTGCTTATATTATACGCGTTCTATAATCCACATACTTATGGATATTGTCGTTTCCCAAACAGATTGGGTGAATTAATAATGTTATTGAAAACCGGGAAAATCTATTTTAGGATTTGTCCGTCAAAAATTAAAATGTCTGATTGATGTATTCACCTCGTTGTCCAAACTTCCGTTGTTTCAGAAAAACAGACCGTACCATGATTTATGACATAAATATTGAACAGAATTTGTCGTAAAGCCCAGTTTATGGTCCGCTGCCTCTATTCGAAATTTCCCTCGCATTATATTTCAATCCTGATTAAATTATGACCGCCATAAACAACTTTAAAGAGAAATTCTGACGTAACCGTAAGCAATTATGGTCGTAAATGAATGATATATTGTAAATATTTAACGCGCGATTGAGTGGAGTTTCAAAAACAAATTGGCAGTAAAGTGAAATTACTATTGCTAAGTCGTAGAAGTGCTGATGATATCGTAAAGGCACCTTCTGTTCGGTAGATACTATTTTATTAA